TGATGAGGAATGAAGAGTAGTTTTGGTCCCTGGCTGGCTATTCCAGCACGACCCCACCATCCTGCAGATGCCTAATCTCATCTCCAATCTAACCAAATACTATTCATTACTTTTGGCCATTCCTCCTCCTCAGCTTTCTTCCACAGCATCTCCATTCCCACGTCATAATCAACATGCAACCTTTAATTTTTACTCATCTTCAACCTTTGTTATCTTCCCCCTCATCATCTCATTACTAGCTACAAAAATATGGGATGTAATGTTGTTATTGCATTGACCATCCCTAAGGCAAAATATGCATGGTAATAAGTTTTGTGATGTTGGATTCCATGTAGATATTGTAAAGGAGTGTTAAGTTGTAATTAGAGCTACAAGAATGAGTCATCCTGATAGGAATCTGCTTCATTTCTTATTCACTCAAAATAAAAATTCTCTCATGTACCAGTCAACGTCTTTACTGTATTGTCATTTTTCATGGGGTATATTTTGATCAGAAAGTGCTGATCTCTAACAATTTTGAATTCTTCCGTGTAACTTCTTAATCTGTTGCTATATAAAATATAATTAACCAGTGCCGTGAGAAAGCCGATAGCTTCCCCAAGTTAACTTAGAATCAGAGTAATAGTGAACGAAGGATATATAGTACAGTGGTTTTGACTCAAGAATATATCCATCGATTGTTAATATAAAATTTAAAGTCAGGATCCGAAAATAATCAAAGCTCTCAACAACACATCTACATACAGTGCCCTGGCTAGCCATTAGCTCGATCTTGACTTTGACTGCATATATAGTTCATACTCTTTCTTGCAAGCGTTGGTGGGGTTTTGAAGTCAGATTTTTGGGTCAAAACCGACAAGATTTGAAAAAAGTTGGCCAGCTTCTGATACAAGTTAACCACTAAAACTTGACCAGCCTATGCCTATATTCACACACTCGCATTGACAAAGAAACGAAAAACGGCATCATCAGCTATACAATAATTTAACATCAACAATATTATGTATATAATGTCCTTAGCTTGACGGTTCTTGCAAGCCAATATAATGGATTGAGTTGTCACCCATTAATTTCCTACACTGGATCCCGTGCACGCATTATTGCCTTGCATGAACAATGAATTGTCCTAGTCTCGGTGTTCCGCGGAATGCCATAATTAAATTCAAAACCTACAAGGAGCGATCCCTACCACTGAAGACATCTCGTTCTCGTTTAGAGTCATCACTGAATCTAACTGCATGTATTAGGGCCGGCCGGCACACAGAGTCTGCTAGATTGAAGAAGACTACGTTCATTGTTTTCTTCTTTCAAAGTACATCTGCATCTATCCCTATCTATCTATCTCTCTCTCTCTCTATATATATATATATATATTATACATAGTGGAATCTAATAAAAATTCGGCCAACTTTTCTCTGTTTTTTTCCATTGCGAATAACATATAATTATCGAGCCATAAGTTATATATATATATATATATATATTTTCCATTGTTGCAGAAGTCAAATGGAAGCTTGCTGGTTCATGAAGATATAGTTGCCAGGTTTGATAATTGGCAATAATAAGTGACTGTATGTGTCTAAGTTGCCAAATATGAGAGAGTTAGGCATGTGATATAATGAGTATAGCGTACAAAACGAACCCGACTTCATAAAACAAAGTCGACTCAGAGCATGTGCTCAACTGACACAAAACTGAATGCAGAAACATATACTGACAAATTTAAAAATCCGTGGAAATTATGGAGCCTCGCGAACTTCGAGGATGATGTAATAATGGAAAGATCCAAAGGAAACCTTAATCGATGTGCGAGCATTTCAGGCAAGAACCGTATCGAACTTGCACTGTATTGAGCCCCATGAAAACCGCAGTAGGATCCCATAAGAAAGAAAAAAAAAAAGCTTCAAGATCCAAGAAAAAGTGACACAACTTTTAAAGCATTAGAAATATAAAAAAAATAACAAACTTGTCAACGGGCTGAGAAAATACAGCCTTGGATCGTGTCTGCGATAAACATTTTGTTGACCACTTTTTCTTGTATAAGTTGTCTTTTTCAATTGCCTTCTGGGACTAAACCAACCCTTCTGCCCTCAACATCGTCGCTTGGTTTAAGACACAGCTACGGGTTAACCACCGTCCGTGAGTAATAAACTAGCAATATCTCTGATCCATAATCATTGAACAATTAAAGAAAATAAAAATAATATCTATAGAACAATTCTAGTACGATGTGTCTCTCTCTTCCCACCCACAAATCTGAGTCCTCCCCAGAAACCGACCTTCCCACTATCATTCAGTTAGACATGGTGGTGCAGAAATCGCAGATTCACTTAACCTTACTACTGAAATTGCTGGAGTGGATGGATATGTTCGTTGTAAGTGGAGGCGATGATCTCAAGGCATTAAGTTCAGAGCCCTTAAAGAGGGAACATAAAAGGGTTTTGAAGTTAATGAATTATAACTAATTAAATTTAAGAAATGATTTTGGGCTTAATATATTTCGGAATGCAGAGAAAAAGAAAGAAGAAAGGGAAGGGGTGGGGTGCCCTGCAGCGGCGCACATGGGAAAGGGTTTGACATGCATAGAACAAATCACATGTCCTCTTTTAGTGGGGCCCTATATCACTTACCCAAATGGATCTTACCACATGCCATTGTATGTCTCTTACCCTTTGGGTCCCACTTGCTTCCCCTCCTGTCATTCTGATCAATTCTCATTTTCCATTTATAGGATGTAGTGAAATCAGCTCCCATCCCATACCATTTCCTGTACTAGTTTGCAGTTTAGTCAGCAGTAGAATCTTGTGCTTTCAATTCCCACAAAACTCTTCTTTGCCACATATTTGCACTCAAATGTATACATTGTTTACCAAAATATTCATTTTTTCATTCATATGGAAGGTTAATATAGTATTATTATTTTCATTTACTAAAAAAATAACTCTAATAAAACCAAATATCATAAGAGATAGAGTATAAGAATCTGCACATACTACTTCCGATCAATAATATAACATCCACTTTGTGATTTGCACTACAAAGTAGATTTTATATTAGGGACAAGAAATAGTATATAAGTAAATTATGTCTGAGAAATTCGAACACTAGCTGATTATATTTTTGCTTTATATATCAACCCAGGGAAGTCGATGGAGTCTCTAAATTTCCTTGAACTTTATACGTGAATAAGGATCACAGAATCATTAACCAAGTATTATAACTAGACAAAAAAACCGACGTGCAATCTTTAATTTTTCATTCATTCTTCTCACGGCCCAGTTTGGTTGGGTTTAGATAGATAGATATGTTTGAAGAGAGAAATATGCATTTTGGAAAAGAATTGTTGAACGTGGACACCATGTGTGCCTGCAATTCTGAAAAAAACATGGCACACATCAACACCACAAATGCCATATATCTGCACTATTTGTAACTACAAAAACAGTTGGCTGTGCCTTTCAAATAATTGCACATCTCTATATTTAATTTGAACTTGTTCCACGCACATTTTGTTTTTGGCGAACCACCTGTTATCACTTAGCAATCTAGGAGGGTACATCCCAACAAAAACACTTTAACTTGTCCACCACTTTAATAGAAATGTGTAGAACTATAGCTAAAAAAAGACTGGTATATATATCGAGTAATTAATGAGCATATGGGCCATTTATGCTGCTGCTTTAACTTGATGGATGCCCCTTTAGCCATAAAATCTGAGAGAAAATCATTCATTTCAGTTTTATACTTTGATATCATCTATTGGGATATATGTATTTATATACCTAATTAAAAAAGAAACCAGCTGAAACAATAAGGTTGTTCTGATGGACAATCCGCTAGGCCCTAATTAAGCAAGGCTTATCTTCGTTTCTGAAATCTGGTCAATTTGATTTGCGGGGTTCATTTTGTTTTGAATAATTTGTGCCAGATTAGGAACGTTGAAACAGTCTAACTCCTCGCATGTTTATACCTAATAGGCGACAAGGCTTACTTCTGAAAGAGCCAACACATTAAGTCGGACAAGAACTCACATCCATATGTTTAGATTTATTTGAGACTACCAGGGGCCTTTATAGATGCATGCTTCCGTTTATCCAAGGTCATCAAAGATCAAGAATCGTCATTTTCAACTATGCTTTTTGATTTAATATGTATGCTTTCTCTTACACATGGTCCCTGTTTATAGACAAATATTGAGCTATAGCTATAGAAAATTCAATTCTGCTCCATCTATAGAACTAAGACTGATATTATTACTATAGATATCACTTACTTTTCCTTTCAATTATCAATTCCCAGTAAACTGGTCCATTATCGGAGGTCATTATTTCAAGTATCCACGGGTTCACTTGGGGAGTGAAACTTCTCGAGTTTTACAAACTTGTTGATCCTAGGTGTCCAACCTTGGATCCATGATCAATAATAAGCTCGTTGCTAAATCCCAAGACGAATATATACATCAGTTAAAGTGTTAAATCATACAGTTAAAGTAATACTTAGGTAAAGTCGATAATACTAACTGATTTGACAATAAACGTACATCTGGGTCATATGTAGTACTAATACTGACTTATTTGGGGTGACGATCAGGTAAAATTAAAAAAAATTCATCTGACATATTAAAAAAACTGAAACAGGAATAATTACGTTATTTGAAATGGCGTTGGCGAAAGTAGAAGGGATTCTTTGAGTATGAAATAGCAAAACTCTAGGGATTGTTAAAAAAAGGATTTAAGCAGGAAACATGGGGTGTCCATATTCACATCTCCCACTGAGCAACCACTAGGAGATAACATCAGCTTGTCGTCACCTATCCCAGCAAGCTCGGAAAGTCCAGCTCACGCATTGGGCCACGTGTCACAAACCCACTCCGGCACAAGAGAAAAAGACAAAAAGGCCCATGCGTGCTTCTAGTAATGTCCACGACGCCCAAGCACACCCTCCTTCCTTCCCTCCCCGCACTATTAGTATATTATCATGACGGTTCAGAAAGGCGATAATAGAAAAGCCGTCAGTGAATGGTTAGAGAGAGAAAGTGATCCATATAGAGATGGAAGTGATAAGTATGAAGAAAGATCAGAAGATGGGTTTCGAGGAAACAGAACTGAGGCTGGGCTTGCCTGGAAATAATGGAGGCTCCGAAACAGAAGTGGTGAGAAAGAGAGGTTTCTCTGAAACTGAATCAGAAACTGTGGACTTGATGTTGAATCTCTCATCCTCAAAGGAATCAGCAGATCCAACTGATAACCTCAAGGCTTCGCCCAAGGAGAAGACCCTTCTGCCTTCTGATCCTGCCAAGCCTCCCGCCAAGTAAGTTTTCAATAACTTCATTATTGATTATTCTGTGTTTTCCGTTTATACGGCTCTCTTTAATCATCTTCTCTGCCACCACATAAAGTTATTTACAGTACCTGGGTTAGGTTCCGTAATAATCATGAGATAGACACAGCGACAGGAACGAGTGGCTTGCTTTTTGAAACATAAAGTTTGGTAATACAATATTACAAATTGAAACCTCCAGCTCCAAAAATCAAACTCGTGCGCTGTTTCTTTGCTACATATGATATTTGTTATCTACGAAATCAAGTAGGGGAGACAAATATATATATATATATATATATAGAGTTGACCATGTACTTTAGACCCGTACGAACAAGTTTTGATGGCTTGATATAAACTGAATAAGGATGTGCTTTTCTTGTCCTTATCGCATATTTTTAGTTTCTTTTAGTGAAAGGAGTACATATAATAATATATTTGAGAGAAGAAAGCGAAGAACCTGCACTAGCGACCTGGATATATATGAACAAACGAAGAGGCAGTTCATACGTACGCATATGTGTATGAGCTATAAGTCTAAAAGCCTGAGGGGCTTTGAAATGAAAGGATATAAAATAAGAAAGAAATCAATAGAAAATCCTAACTGCTCAGCCTTTCCGTATATTTATTTTCTTGCAATGTTGACTTTTCGAGCCGTTTAAAGAATTGGAAGTTTGAAAAGCAAATTTAAACTAGGTTCTTGGAAATCACTTGTCTCTGTCGGGTGATGAAGTTACCTGGTATGACCTATGAATGATTAATTAATTAATTAATGGCATGAATATTATTGATACGTACAGGGCGCAAGTGGTGGGTTGGCCACCAGTGAGATCCTTCAGAAAGAACATACTAAAGAACAGTGGAGAAGAGAACGAGAAGGGAAGCCCTAATAATGGAAGCTTCGTGAAAGTAAGCATGGATGGAGCTCCTTACCTTCGCAAAGTGGACCTCAAGTTGTACAACACGTACCAAGATCTCTATGATGCCTTGGCCAAAATGTTTAGCTCCTTTACCATTGGTACGTATATGGCCCACCCTCTTTTTTGTATTTTTCCTTTGCCATAATAACACCCATGATGTCCTTAATTATTAAAAAAACAGATCAAAACTCCACTTATCCTTAATACTACCTGGGGTTCTAATTATAAGATCACATTTATAGTTTTAAAATAAGGTCTTATAATTAGAATCGAAAATAGTATAAGACCTAATTAACTAATTTAATTAGATTAAAGATGTTGGTTGAATTAATTAATGTGATATGTTTTTTTCAAAACATCCTAAACATTTTTCTTAATTCCCCCCCTCCCTCTTCTACTTAATTGTTGTCAGAAGAATATCAACAAAGTTAATTTAAAGAAAAAAATTAAAAAACGTGTTAATTAAGTCTTACATATAAAACCAATATGAACTCTTCAGTTAGGTTCCACATTAAAGACCAGATGAGCATAAATGACAGCTAACTAATAAATGACAGAAGAAAAAATAGTTTAAGCAGTTGGGGATATATTAATGGACGAAATTAATGTTGTGTTGTTGATTGAAGGCAATTGTGGATCCCAAGTAATGAAGGACTTCATGAACGAGAGAAAGCTGATGAATCTCTTGAGCAGCTCCGACTATGTCCCAACCTATGAAGACAAGGATGGCGACTGGATGCTTGTGGGCGACGTACCTTGGGAGTAAGTTTTCCTATCTCATTACTATAAGTATACCCCAAAATTAAAACAACCCGATCCTTAATTATAACAATAATTATCGTACTCGATTTCCTGGCTAATTATTACCTTTTCCCCATGTCCACCCAGGATGTTTGTTGAATCATGCAAGCGTTTGCGTATCATGAAAGGCAAGGAGGCTATCGGACTTGGTTAGTAATAACACTTTTTATGCCTTTTTTTTAAATTTCCCCTTCCATGCATGATTAATCATCTAATCAAAATGTTTATTAATTTAAATTATGTAAATAGTACGTCGACATGTTCTGAGTTTGAAATTATTATCCGGGTTTATTATTTCAGCACCGAGGGCCGTGGAGAAATGCAAGAACAGAAGCTAGATTATACGTAGTGGTTACAGCAGAGATGTGTCCATGACCTACTCGTATATTCCTTTGTAATTGTGGTCCGACCGAGACTAAGGAATAATGGAGCTGGTGAACATGGATTATAGTTTTTTTTTTCTGTATCATTAATTAATATGCATGTGTATGGTTTGTTCGGTAATATTTCATACGAGACGCAGTGAGATGTCTTGATTAGTATTGATTAAGAACCGAAAAACAGTGATGGATGGCTTTATTATGTGTTTTGCAGGACTTAATATTGGCCTTCTTTGAGCCAGCAAAACAAAACGACTTTGGCTTTCTTTATTATTTGCTTTAATTGCCTGCTTTTTCTTGCTTGTTTTATAATAACAAGCTTAATAATGTGCTTGGCTGTACTAATCATTTATATCCTTGAAGTTGGATCGATTTTTAATTATTATCATTTTCGTTCTTTCCTTCCCTTTTTTTTAATTTTGTATGAGAAAAACGAAGTTTCGTATGGGTTTTAGCTTGGGATCAAGAATCGGGCAGCACTGGACATGTTCCCTAACAAATTGGACGAAGGAACAAAATCATGTGCGTGTTCATTAATGCTTGCCAGCCAATATAGCTTTTTGATTAATTAAGTACTACTCCGGTGCTATATATAAGTTTTACTTTTGGAAAATGATGTAGCCTAAAATATAATCTTTATTTTTGAGTTTGTCTAAACATTCATTACTTTTTTTTTTCTATTTTGTTCTTAATTGACTGTATTTAATACTCCCCCTCTCTCATTAATATTGTCCCCCTATATTCTCTTTTATCTCATTTATTCTCTTAATAAGTAAGGGCAAATTTAGAAAAAAAAGAATACATTTCTGACCCTTTTATTATTTTTAACTAAAGGAGTGTTTGGATGGAAACCAAACGATAATTTTAAAGTGTTTTTACGGTATACGAAATAAATATATAAAAAAGTTTATCTCGTTTTGTAAAAAAAATGCTTTTCAAAAGCACTTTTTGAGTTAGCCAAACACCCCTTAATTTTAACTACTAGTTCGTCAAATATAATTCAGTTATTTGAAATTTATATATAAAATCGGAAGGATTATATTATTGTGACATATGCACGCAAGTATATATAACTTGTTTCAAAAACTACATGACCTCTCTTATTTTAAATTTAGTATTCCTAATTTCAGACACATACGTAGAAGGTTCCTCTTCATAAAACCCACCCAAACAAAATTAAGCATTATGTTAATGTTGGTACGATGCAACATAATCTTTTATTATTAAATATTTAAAGTATCAAATAGTCTAACAATTAATAATTTTAAATTTTTTATATGGTAAGTGAGTGTAATTTAAAAATAAATTTATGAAAATGGGTCTGTATTATGTTATATTCAGTAACTATGTTACAAATAAAATTAGATACCAAATGCTTCTAAATTCGTGTGACATTTTTTATTTTAACAATCTAAAGGGATTAATACAACTCGTTATTAAGAATTTTTTTTCATCAACTGAACATCTATCGAAATAAAAAATTATTGAAAAACGACAAAATTTGAACAATTTTAAAGCCCAAGCATGAAAGAATCGAATTTGCATCCGAGAGAGGGAGAGGAGAGGGAACGCTGAGTAGAGTATTGAGAAAAAGAAAATTTTTAATAAGCTTAATTTAAAGAATTGAAGTAAGATTAAAGGCTTTTAATTAAATTTTAGGATTAATATGATTTTTAGTCTGTTAAATTTGTCTTTATTTTAATTTTAGTTCATCAAGTTTCAAATTATAAATTTTAATTACTCAAGAAGCAAAATAATCTAAGTTTTTAACTGATTATAAAGACTAATATTTTAAATGAAAAAAAAATTTAAGAGATCAAAATCTATGATTTGAAACTTAAGAAATCAAAACCAAAATAAGAATAAATTTAAAAAATCGAAGTTTATATTAATCCTAAATTTTATTATTCTTTTATCTTACATATTTTTTAATTAAAATTTTAAAACCCTATTTTTCTAATTTTTTAAATTAAACTCATTAAAAATTTTCCTTCCCTTTGTTTTCCTCATACCAAACATAAGGTAGAGGATAGAAGAGACGAGGGAAGGATGAGAGAGAGGAGAGAAGAGAGATAGAGTAGGGTAGGGATTCCATAGAGTGAGAGAGAAGAGGGTAAGGGAAAAAAACTCGGTAGAGAACAAAATGGTCTTTAAGTTTTGAAAATGAGGGCAAAACTATCATAAGAAATAAACTTCCAAAAAAAGAAAGAAACAGATAAAAGAAAAGAAAAAGAGGCATTCATAGAATTGGAAGAAAGAGGCTTCCATGAAATTCGATGGAATCTTGTTTCCAATAGAGTCAAGATTTTTAGCACAAATGGTATTTCATGACTTCCCATTTCCATTTTCATTTCCAGAGTTATAATTCTTTCATACTAAAAGAGATTTCTCGAATCAGTGCAAACTGAAATTGGTACACATAAACCTGTGAATCAAAGTCATAAAGGAATTATCACTGAATGGTCCCTCATTTTGTGTGGCATTTATGGGTGGAATTTGGTGATGGCTAGGTGTTGGGCTGTTGATAGAAGTAGCCGTGGCAATCCCTTGTGTCAAGATCATTATCCTTTAATTTTGACGATATATTAAATGCAAAAGCAACAGCAACCTAAATTTCATTTAACCAGCATACATAAATGACATTGTTTTGAATGTTTGTTATGTTACCCGTAGAACAAGAAAATTAATATTGTGGTCGAGAGAATGTTGCTGAATAAATAGATATTGCGTGGAATGACAAGAAATGACACCCAATGAAAGCAATTGCAACCACTTAAATGAACTGAAAGGCACAGTGAAGGCAATACATAGTTAACAGTCTAAAATTAGCTAATTGAACAACTCTAGCTTGGCAAGCCCTTTAACAAGTTGTGCTGTAGTGTTTAATTATTAAACTTCAGATGCTAAAGATGATCACAGCTAGGAACAGGATTACACAGATGAATAACTGAAATCACATACCTGATAACTTTAAAACTAGTAATTGATTATAAGGCTCTTGTGTTGATAGGCGAGTCTTGATAGTTCATTAGACTGCATATTTTAGGTACTATTGTATAATTGTATGATTAATGTTGTGCCTTGTGATACCTTATATTTGCACAGTAGGACAAATATTAACTACGAACACCAGACATTATAAAGCATTGTCTATATTGTCAACGGAACACTGGCATATTTCATCAAATACAGTGTCCAAGACTGTAAACTTGTTGCAATATAATTTTACTGCAGCAAAACTCGATCCAAATTCAACTTGTTGCAATATAACTTATTGACTTGGAACAACTTGAAAAGAAAAGAGATGAGATCTTATTACAAAAAAATTGAGACAATCATCCGACGTCCATGTAACTCAGCAATTATGATGCTCAACATGTTTAACATAAAATGAGCAATGCTAAGGGAACAATTTCATACCCTAACCGGAAAAGACTGAGTATGATATGACCTGATCCGCGCCTATGGGATACAGCCTTTGGAGTTTAAAATACAACAAACAAGATATTGAACATGTATCAGCAAAATCAGTCGACATGGACATTGCAGAGCCTTTTCTCAGCCCTCCTCCTCTTTTTCCCGTCATGAGGCAACTGTAAAAAGAAATAAATTATCTGGTGAGTTTCAAGTTCAACAGAACATCTGCGTCTAAAGATGAGCAAGTCACGGAATTGGCTACAAGCAAAATATAGATACTTTGAAATCCATTTTGTGGGCGTGAGGGGGAATGAGAAAATATGAACAAGATACGCAAAAGATTTGGCGCCCCGTTATAGCATTATGCGGCACCTTCTTGTACAATACACTATACTATTAAGCCTAAGATAGCACGCAAACAGTTAATAGCCTACCTCAATTGTATGTACGGTATTGAATGCTGCATGCTAATGTTAATTTCAACTTCTAAGGAATCAATCAAAAGTACACTAAATCATGATCAGTGATGTTTTCTTTTTTTCCAGCTTTACCTCACTACTGAGAAAATGCGGGACCCTAACTCTTTTGGAGCCATCAGGTAGACGTTTACAAGGTGATAGGTTTTCCATAGCGGTAAAAGCATTGCAGACCTGCAAACAAAATGAAGACCATTTGGTTAAATAAATTTAGTTTGCAGTCACGCAGAATTGCAAACCTTAGGCCTAAGCATATATTGAGATTTCGTACAGACTTCATAGCAAGTTCATCAGATTCAAATTGCCCAATGAAGCTCCACCTTAGAGAGAAACAAGGAGAATACTGCAGAACAAAAATCACCGGACATGCTTTCTCACCTGACTTTGAATAGCCCCAATTAGCATGTCCTGACAACCTGATGCATGTACGTTTTCTAGACTAGGGCACTGAAGCAACAATCTCTCTGAACGATTATGACAAAATTATCAGAATTAAATGAAAACCAAGAAAAGTTGAATTTAATATGCGACCAATATTTGTTTAAGAACAGGGACATTAAGTCACTACCTGGATGCAAATTTTTACACGAATTTAGGTTCAGATCATTGAGCTGTGGACAGTTTAAGTATAGAGCCTGCACATTATTTCGGGATAAAGTTTAACGTTAAGAAGCTCGAGAAAGAATATGCAGCTTCTTCAGAATAGTAAAACTCACATCTAAGCCAGAACAGCCCCATAAACTTAGTTTCTTCAATCGGTTATGTTTGATAATTAACTTCTGATTCACAAGGTGAAGATTAGAATTGGATGTCTCCAGTGATTTGCAGTTGTTTTCATCAGCAGTTTGATTTTCCGAATTAGGATCACATATGGTCATGCCACAGTCCATAAGTTCAAGAACCGGCAATTGAGCTGAAGCAAATTGAATGCCACCTAAAACATAAAGACAGCAGGTTAGCGGGTGGAAACTTGAGCAAGCTTTGCAGATTGTGAGGCAATATAGGACATAAAAGGACATTTACTTGAGGTTACGTTAGGGCAAAGAGCAAGGAGAAGCCTTGACAATGTTTCAGGGAAGGCGTTACAGATTATCCCAATTCCACTGTCACTGATGCTTGATCTGTGATAAAAGCAAATGAATAAACATAATCGAAACATATTTGCTCATATTTGACTTTTGTTTATAATTGTGCACTATGCTGAGTTGCTACATGTATTAGTTGCCTTCAAATTGAAAGCATCTTCTAAAATCCCAAAAAGGAAAAAAGGACAATCAGAATAAGGACATAAACTTACCCACTGAGATCAAGCAATTCTAGATTTGGATAGCTGGAAGCAATCGCAGCAACAGATGCATCAGTAACTTCAAATCCAAGAACTAGAGAAAGCATTCGCAGCCCTCTGAATGACGAAATATGTAAACAATCATCACAAGGCTTATTAAAGCATGTGGGTGCTAGGTAATTAACTTTTAACTAGCTCAGAACA